CTCCTCCTCATCCTCCCCCTCATCAACCACAAGCACAGGAGCAACACTCTCAGGATTGTCAGGATTATCGTCCTCCTCATCCTCAGGCTCATAAAAGATTTCGTTATTGACGATGTTTATTTTTAAAAGAAAAATTTGGGTCGCACGTGGGTACGTGCTATCATCCGGGAACAAGCACCGGAGATAAGGTACATTATTACTCTCGACAATTTGTACCAGCAAGTGTCGAGGGTCTCCAACCACTAAATTCAGTGACTGGAATGCCCACAGACAATGCCAGCACTGCCCAGCAGGTCGATGGTTAAAAATATTATTTCTGTTACAGCCTGGGCAGCCTCGCTCGGCAGACATTTCCGTAGTTGTTGCCAGGAAATGACGCTCAACAATTGTTCCAGGTTCGTTTTCCGGCAACCTATCCTGGAAATAGCACACTGTACAACGCCATGTGCGTGTTTCTGGGTTATTCGGAACCCACATCAGCCCACTTAGGTGATTGTGAGCTGAGTTCATCTCGGATAAGGCATTTAATGTGCTCTATATAAAAAAAAAATTATGTCTATAAATATATATATATATATATTTTTCCTTTCATAGATAAACACCCATACAATAAATATAAAAGAGGAGTCATTGAAGGGTTAAGAAAAATAAGATGGGATGAAAGGAAAAAGAAATTTTATTTATTTATTTATGACGGAGAAATCTTCAGTGATGATCCGGTTTAAGAGAAGAGGGAGTCCATTATTCGATCATTCTCTCCAGTTTTAATCATAAGAAATACTTACGACTGGCAGAGTAATTCGAGTGAACGGTCTACTTTCCCATTCTTCTTTTGTGATATAATAGTGCGGATCACCTCGATGGTAATAGGTGGGTGGAATGTTTGCCATTTTCACTTTTTATTTTATTTATATAGCGAACGAGTGGAGGAGAGTGTCAACAGTGTCTACATGACTTTTAGTAAACAAAGGGCTGAATTACTAAGAAAAGGATCAGGGCTGGAAAGCTCAATAACTCGAAATTATGTATCTTTACGTTATAAGAGTTATTAATGTCCTTTAAATTATTAACTTAAAGGTCGGTCAATTGTAATTGGTCGCGATGTACTATTCTAATCTTATTATTACTGATTTTCTTTATTTTAACATTAAATTCGCCGATTAATTCGATTATTTTGTAAGGTCCTTCAAAAAAGGGGTCAAATTTTTTATCATTTCGAATGTTTATTTTTACGTTAACTATATCATCAATTTTATAATTAACAGGATGAACATTTTTGTCATAATAATGTTTGTTTTTTCTTTTAGATTTCTCCAAGTTTTCACGAGCAAGGGACTGGACGTTATCCAATTTATGAAAAAGCTCTTGTAAGTATTGTTGATAAGTTTTGTCGGGTAATTCTTGGGGAAAACTTGACGGAATTACAGCTTCTTTTCCAAAGACTAAAGTATAAGGTGCGAATCCCGTTGATTCGTGAATAGAAGTATTATAAGAAAATAAAGCAAATCGCAACTTTTCGTCCCACGATTGAGCGTTACTAAATTGACGAAGATATTGAATTAAATCTTGGTGACTTCGTTCCAATGATCCTAAAGATTGAGGATGATAGGCGGTTGATTCTATTTTTTCAATATCAAAAATTTTACAGAAAAGTTTCATAACTTTACTCATGAAATTTCTCCCTTGATCAGTATGAATTATTTTAGGACAACCGTAGCGAGATATAAATTTTTCAGCAAGAGCTTGGGCTATTGTAACCGAATCTATATTTTTTAATGGAATTGCGTCAGCATACTTTGAAAATACACATTGTATAGTCAAAATATACCTATTTTCACGTGGAGTAATTGGCAAAGGGCCAACTATATCTATTTGTATTTTATCAAAAGGTTCTTTTGGAGTATCCGTAATTCTCATAGGTTGTTTTGTTCGTAAATTTATAATTTTATTTCTTTGACAATTTTTACAGGCTTTAATGAATTTTTGTATTTCAATTTTCATATTAGGCCAAAAATACTTAGATCGAATTCTAGAATAGGTTTTTGAAACACCTTTGTGACCTCCCACAGTTGACTCATGAAATTCTTTAATAATTGAATGCCTTTCTTCTAATTTTGGGATTATTATTTCACCTGAGCAGACCATAATTTTTATTTGTGAATCAGAGAAATGCTGACAAAACATTTTCTCAATAGAAAACCAGGAAATTTCGTCTAGATTATTTCCAACTTTTGAAACTCTAGCAAAATGTACATCAAGTGGCTCCATAGCATTTCTCAAGCCAAGAATAGCACTGGATACTTTATTCAAATATGCTTTGCCATCAAATTTCTCTTTTACTACAACATGAAAAATGTAGCGATTTCCTTGAGGAATAACAATTACATTTCCAACTTTAAAATCATCATTTTTTATTGCATTTACATTTAACAAATTTCTTTCTATTAATTCTTTACTTATATCAGAATCAAAAATGCAATCTTCCGAGACAAAGTGAACAATATGACCAGTTCCCATGGACAACATATCTTTACTATAAATTATACAAACATTATCAATTTGGAACACATATCCAATTATTTCATCAATTTTAATTTTGTCTTCAAGGTTGATCGCTCGGCAAGAATCAGGAATACTACATTCACCTTGGCCAAGGACATTTTCACTGTCACCCATTAAGTGGTGCAAAGACATAACAGGGATTCCATTAAATAATGGACAATCCAAACAATTCTCCGATCCCAAGTTGAATGTTTGCGTTCCAAGAGAACCATTACCCTCCGCAGATATAATATTGGATACAGCTCCCTTAGTTCCCAAACAATTCTCCTGGTAACTCGTTAAGAGAAAATCACAATCACACAATCCAAACGCACGATCAACCAGACAATGTATATTAATAATTTTTACTGTTTCTATTCCAACCTCATCATTGTTCACAGGATTTCTCGATAAAGCATCAGCATTAGCATTAATTCTACCAGGCTTGTAAATAATTTTGTAATCGTATTCACTCAATTTAATACGCTATCTTGCTAATCTGGAGACTGGATCTTTTAATCTATTTAACCAAACTAAAGGTCTATGGTCTGTAACAAGTGTAAATTCCCTGCCATACAAATATGGACGGAAATGTTTCACACAAAACACAATAGCCAATAATTCCTTCTCAATGGTTGAATAATTAATTTCAGCCATTTGCAGGACTCTGGAAGCATATGCTATGGAAAGATCCTGTCCAATTGGACCTTGACTGAGAACTCCTCCAATAGCATACTCAGAAGCATCTGTGGTCAAAACGAATGGTTTTGAAAAATCTGGGTATTGCAGAATAGGAGGTCTGCAAATCTGATCCCTTAATAATTCAAATGATTTTTGATGTAAAGAGGTCCAAACAAATGGAATATCCTTCTTCAACAATAAGGTAAGTGGTTTAGATATCTTAGAATATTCATTAATAAACCTTCTATAATAACCCGTAAGACCAAGAAATTGTTTAATGTTTTTTCTTGTTTTAGGTATAGGAAATTTTTGGACTGCCTCCAATTTTCGAGGATCTGGTTTCACTCCCTTTTCAGTAACTAAATGCCCTAAATAAGTGATTTCTTTACGAAGAAAATTGCATTTATCCGGTTGCAGAGTAAGACCAGCAGAACTAAGTCTTCCTAACAATTTCCTTAATTTTTGAGAATGTTCCTTCAAACTGGATGCATATATAACAATATCATCCATATAAACGAACATTTCAATCCCTTGTAAACCTGTCAAAACGTGATCCATCAATCTCTGAAAAGTACTTGGCGCTGTTTTTAATCCAAAAGGCATGCGGGTATATTGATAATGACCAAAAGGAGCACTAAAGGCGGTTTTCTGTTCACTTTCTGGATCAAGAGGAATTTGATGAAATCCTAAAGCTAGATCCAAAACAGAAAAATACTTAGCGCCACCACATTGATCGATTATATCGATAATGCTAGGTATCGGATAAACGACTCCCACTGTGATTTCATTTAATTTTCGGTAATCAATTACCATTCTCCAGCGCTTATTACCCTTAGAATCTGGACTTTTGGGTACAATCCAGAGGGGCGAATTATAAGGGGATGTAGACGGCTTAATAATATTTGCTGACAAAAGATTATTTAATTGTTTATTGATTTCATCGTTATGAATACGTGGATATCTATATTGTTTAACAAAAATTGGATTCTCCGTATTTGTGGTAATTTTATGTTTCAGGACATTTGTAGAACCCAATGTATCTCCTGGTAAATAAAATTGATTCGGAAAATCATTAAAAATCTTTATTAAACTTTCCTTCTCTTCATCATTTAAACCATCCAAATTTAAATTTTGTAATAATAAAGCTAATCTTTCAGCATGTTTTTTAATCTCATCAGGGGGTTTTAGTATTGAAGAATTTAAAGGGGTTGAAAATTCCTGCAGTTCCAATGCTGGTACTGTCAGTTCCACATTTTCACTAGTCGAATTAACCATAAATAACTTAACTAAACCATTATTATTATTAACCAATACTTCTCCTGAAAATATTCCAGGACCACAAGAAATCCTTGGAATGTATCCTTCAGTTAAGTAAGTAGACTTTATGGGTAATTCAACCAATGTTTTTGATCGTGGAGATAATTGAATTCTTTTATTTTCTTTAAAAGGCATATCCACATTATTCATTCTTATATAATTATCAATAAAATTTAAAGTAGTTCTGTGTTCTTTTAGAAAAGTTATTCCTAAAACACCCTGATATTTAATAGGAAAATCTGGTGTGACAACTTGAAATAAGGTCTCAATTCCGAAAATATAAATTTTTGTTTCTCCTAAAGTTTTTGTCATAGTTGGATTAATTCCAACTAAATTAAAAATTTTTGTTTTGTCAATGAACGTTTCAGTTTTCAAAGTATTAATTTTAATTAAATTGACTGAGGAACCGGTGTCTATTAAAAAGTGTGCTCTTTTATTAAGAAATGAGGTATTTTCTAAATCTATTGAGGGAACTTCTCCCTTTCTTTCTCTTTCTCTAAATTGGAGATTGATTCGTCTTTGTGGAGGTCCTTCGTCCTTGGGGTCAGCAATTCTCCCACTTGCTGATCCCAAGTCAAGTTTTTTGAATCGAGTTCATCTTCATTTTCTTTCTTCAAAATTTTTTCTAAATTTATTTCTTTTTCATGCTTTTTCTTTAGAAAACACTTTTCAATTGTATGATTAGACTTTGAGCAATATTGGCACTTTCTCTCTCTATTTTTTTCACTTAATTTTGATTTACAATTAAATTTCTTATGACCAAACCGAAGACAATTGTAACATTGTATTTTTGACATGTCTAAGTTGTTATTTTTATTTCTTTTGTATTCTCTATTTTCCTCGGCACGAAAATGAGAGATACGTTTTCGCGGGGGAAAAGAGTTGAAAGATCTTTTCTCAAAAGATGAAGTAGATGGTCTCTCGTTTTCGTGCAAAGTTTCCCAAATTTTTAATGTTATCTCTTCTTTAGTGGCTAAAGTTATTGCTTCATCTAAAGATTCAATTTTTTTATCGCATAATTTTGAAAATATCTCTTTACGCAAACCTCTCAGAAAACCACTTATAGCATTTTCTTGGTAAATTTTACTAACTGTAGGGATCAATTCTAGAGGATTATTTTCTTTGCAATGGCATATTAATTTACTCAAAATTCCTTTGGCTCTACACCCAAATTGAGAAATTGATTCATTGGAATCTTGTTTGAGTGATAATAACAATTGCATTAATTGGCTTCTATCTTCTTTAACAGAATAAATTTGTTCTAAAGTTGTTAAAATTTCATTTAACCCCATACCATCCAGAATGTGATCCCTAGCTTCACCGATTATTTTTGTATAAAGAAAAATAGGAAAAATTGACAATTCTTGGGGGTTAAGCATTGCAATTGCTGATCTGCAATGATTTGTAAACATTTTTACTGGTGGGTTTTTACCATCAAAAGTTGGTATACAATTACCAACAACTTTAATCATATTTCCAGATAAATTTCGCGACATTGCAGGGTTAAAAGTACCAAAAGGAACTGGTACGAAATTTAAATTTGAGGAAACTGAATTGGTTGGCTCTGATGTGGTTTCTGTACTATCTAAATGAATTGAGTCATCATTAGTACGAGCAATTTCTCTATGATTTTCATTCGAATTATTCTGACCTGCGTTAGACGTATTATTATCATTTTGTGTTCCATCATTCGTATTGTTTTCAATATTTGGGTCAGCACTTGGTTTTTTTGTTTTATCTATTTTTCGTGGACGACCCATTTTAAGAAAAAAAAGGAAAAATTTTCTTACAGAAAAGGTTTAAATATGCTCTATTGCTAAAATACCTCACAATTTCTATGGTTTGATTGATGTGCAGATTCCAGTTGAAATTCAAATTCTTCTTCTTCGTTTCGTAGCACCTTCCAGCAGAAATGTGGAGAGTGGGGTGATCCTCGGGTTTCACTATGATGATAGAGATGTCGCTGCTTCCTCCTCTGGTAAAGTCTTACAAGCGCGCATGCGCAAGGCTCCACTGCTAAAGGTCCAGCGATGTCAGTATTTTTCGATGATGTACTTTTCTTATCACAGTTTATTTATTTTTATTTATTAATGTTCAGTGCAGTATCCCACCACTGTCACCAAAAATTTGGATATGTCGCGTCACAGGTTATATTTTACGTAAATTTCCGTTGGATTCACTAATAACCAATGGCTGGATTCTTTTTACTGTTGTAACCGCTTGAAAGCGGGCACTGAATTTAAATTTGAATTTATTATTCAAATTAAAAGGTGGGATAAATAAATATACACTTATATTTTAATTGGAAAAACCCCTTTCGGGTAAAAAAACCAATTTTATTTAAGTTCAAATATTGTTTCTTTTAAATATACACTTCACAATTCTGTTTTACAAATAATTGTTTTATTGTTAAATATTAATTTAACAATTTATATTGTTTGTCGAAGGTTTGATTTTATTCACACTTTGTAAGATTCGTTGATTTTAACAATATATAATACTTTTAAAGATATACACTAATAATTAGTGGTCTCTTCTCAAGTCTCGAAAATTGTCTGAAACTCTGGGTCTCAGGCCCTCTCTTTATATACTCAACTAAAAAGGGGGGGAGGTTTACCCTCCCCTCTTTGTTTAACCAATCAGAACGCTGATGACGTGGCACTCGACCAATAAACGTTGAACACTCAAGGTTAAGTTATTACGCATTTTCCAAATGACTAAAATGATGACACGTGTCAAGGTTAAATTATTACGCATTTAACAGATCTCAAGGTCAGATTATTACGCATCCTACAAATGACTCATTATTGTTATATATTTTACTGCGCAGTTTTTAACTGCGCAATAAAATAACTGTCATACGAAGATTTACAATATAATTTTGCAGTTTTTTCTTATCAATAATAAGAAGTACAAATACAGCATTTCATAATCATAGTAAAATATTTAATGCATATTCCTTAATTAATTAAACACTAATAATAATAATAAACTTAAATTAATATTATATCTAATTACAGTTTTATATAATTATTTATAATAATAGTTTTACAATATTCTTAAATAATACAATGATTACACGATAGAGAGAGAAAGAAAAAGAACAAATGTCAAATAGAAGGTCTTTTCAATTTCTGAATCAAATAATAAATATAATATTAATAATAATAATAACAATAATAATAATGATATTTAATTGTAATATAAATATAACTTTAGATTTTTAAATTTGAATCCTCCAATGATGACAATCGAAAATTCCTAGTTCATTTATATAGAATTTAAAATTCCCTATAAAATTTACTAGGCACTGATGCCAGATGCCACATTAACCATTAACATAACACACTGCAAAAAATGGCGTCTAAAAATAAGACGTTTATAAACGTCTTATGTAAATAAGCGTCTTAAATGAAAAACATAACCTCCAAATACATGCATTTTAGAAGGCAAATAAGACGCTTAAGTCCAACGCAGAATAGGTTCGCGAACGAGACGCATGAGATAGACAAGGACACAAATATATCTCTGTCATTTTCTAACTCATGCTTTGCGTTCGCGAACGACTTTCGCGAACCTATTGTGCGTTGAACTTTAACCCTCTGCCTCTCTGCTTACGCTGGCATTTCCCCACTCTAGCGCTTTTGAATGTAATTCCCAGAGTCCCCACCAGGCGACCGAATTGTCGTTTTTTGTCGATAACGGTCACTTTCGTACCTTTCGTAGGCAGAGGCAGGGTTGGAAAATGACGCGTCATTTTTGGTTTCTGATGTATATTACGAAGAATAAGTAATTTACGTAGACAATGTAGAAAACCCATGTAATTTACATTTTCAAGATGGCGGCCATTAAAAGACTAGAAAACATTTCGTGCCACCGTTCTTTTGTTCACAGATTCAAAATTAAGCTCCACTCATATACCTGGTCATGGCCGAATATACACAGCGCAACGCTAGTATAGTGCCAATGTTAAATTCTACTACTACTACTACTAGAAAACATAACATAACCTCTTGAAAAGTTTGCTTTTCAGGTTATATCACGTGACAAAATACATTAACGTAAATTACGTAGAAAACTCTTGACGTAAATTACTAAGTAATCTACATGTAAACAACTACGTATATTACCTTAGGTAGTTTACGTTCCCAACCCTGGGCAGAGGGTTAAATGTGACCACGTAAACGTCTTAATCTAAGACTCTCTTTTTACAATGAACGGTTGCCATGCCATGACTTACGACCACCCCGGTCTGTCTTTATGCTACTTTCCATTGAAACCAGTCTGTCCTTAGTGATGCCATCAAAACTGGACATTCCAGGTGGCGCCACATGCGTCACTCCCCAGAAAATGAGTAATTTGAATAAATATAATGTAAAAAAGTAATTCAATTTTATTAAATTTTAGGTTCCGATTACATTTCTAATAAAAAAAATCCATATTTTCAAGGTTGCCACGCAACCTGGAAACCTGAAAAACCCGGAAATGTCAGGGAATTTTTATCGGAATCCTGGAAATTATTGTTTTTCTAAATTTATTGTACTTATTCTTGAAATCTAATTTTCCTTAAATATCTCAAAATTAATTCAATTTTAAAAGAGTTTACAATTTTCATAAATAGATGAACTTCAAAAGGTTTTAATTTAAAATTTTAATTTTGAATGAATTTATTAAATAATAAAAAATTTATTTTCATAAATATAATAAAACTCATCGCAAAATTTCAATGACTTTTAATATAATTTTAATGAAATTTCTCGAAAAATGTCATTATTCGTAAAAATTTTATTAAAATTCATCAAAGAAATTCAATTATTTTAAAAAGCCTTCTTATAAGTTATTTGATAGAATTTAAGTATTATTGTCAATACATTTTTAATTAAATTCCTTAAAAGAATTAAATTATTTTCAACAATTTTAATGAAATTGTTTTTAACAATTCAGTTTTTTTTCAATACAATTCTTAGCAGAAATTTAATTAACTTCAATAATTTATCAAAATTCAATTATTTTTAATATCTACTATTTAAATAAAATTTCACAAAAAATTCAATTATTTAGAAAGAAATATTATTAAAATTTGTCTCAAGAATTCAATTATTTTTTAAAAGTAATAAAATTCTTCGCAGAAATTCAATTATGGTCAAAAGTTTAAAAAAATTCTCGTCAAAATTTCAATATTTAATTATCTTTATAAATAATAGAATTTTTCTATAAAATTCAATTATTTAAAAAAATTTTAATAAAATTCTTGGCAAAATTTCAATTATTTTCAAAAACTTTTTTCAATTCAATCACATTTTTTACAGAGATTCAATTATTTTTAATACAATTTTAATTTAATTTCTCGAAAAGTGAAATTATTCTTATATTAAAAATTTTATTAAAATTCGACAAAAAAAAATTTAATTACCCATTCAAAAAGTTGTTGATAAAATTCTTTAATTCAGAATTCAATTTTAAAAAACATTCAATAAATTATATAATTTTGTATTTAAATAATTGGATTCTCGTAGAATTTTCTAATAAAAATTGATTTAAATATAAAATTCAGTTAAAATTTGAGATAATAATTGAATATTAAACTCTCTAAATTTGAATTCAAATCAAAATTCTTTTGAATTAGCAGATTTTACTATTAAATAGTCGTTTCTACTAATTTAATAGTAAAATTAACTAATTCAAAAGCAAAACGTCTGTCACTACTTCCAATTAGTAAATTAGTAGATATACTAATTTAAATTTAGAGAGAAAGTATTATAGCGTGAATCTTTAGAAATAATTAAATTTTGAAAAGGTTTCAAATTATAATCTTTGAATGTTTGAATTTTGCATACTTTTAACTAAAAATTGTGTAGATTTAATTTTTTTGAAAAAGATTATTTCTTTATTAATTTTATTTATTTTTTGAAATTATTTGAAATTTTTATTTTCTAATATACATTTAATGGAAAAATTTCCAAATAATCGATGAAATATCATAAAATTGAATTGTAAACAAAAGGCTTTGAAAATTTTACAAAAAATTATTAAAAATAATTAATTTAAAGAAGAATTTTAATTAAAAATTTTAGAAAATAATTAATTTGAAGAAGAATTTCAGTTAAAAATTTTAGAAAATAATTGAATCGAAATAAAAATAATTTTTATAAAGTTAGAGTAACAATATTCTTATAATATAAAATAATAATTTTATCAGTCGGTCATCTTTATAATTATTATAAAATATGAAGATATCCATTGCTCCGAGTCGAAGATTCGGAGTGACCGATTTCTTCATGTTTTATAACAATTTTTATAAGTTGTTTAATTTCAAGAAGGTTTGAATTTGATTTTTTTGAAGATTTTTTATTCCTATGGAAAAATAGTAATTAAATATTTATTTAAAGAAGATAAATATAACAATGTGGAATACAGTATTATATAAAAGTTCCTTGTATTTGTAAAAATTTATTGGAATTATTTAATTTTGTAAAATAAAAATGTAGTTTCAAAAACCTGGAAAATTTCCGGTTTTTAGCCTGGAAAAGTCAGGGGGAGTTTGAAATGAGCAAAAGCGTGGCAACCCTGATTTTTTAATTTTATTAAACGTTTTTTCAAATTAGAAGAATTTTGATTACTAAAGAATGCAATTATTTTACTTTTAATCAAAATGATCAAAATCATTGTTTTTTTCGACTATACATAAGTAAGAATTTTTGAAACGTGCCACCTAAAATTCAAAAAATTTATTTTTGGCCAAAATGTTGTTTTTTCTATA